ACATAAGATCAGTTGATTTGAAGATCCGTGATATAGCGCGATTGAAATTTATAGACAATGTTTTCACGTTCACAGAGACTACATCTCAGTCGGAATATTACCTTTACATTTCAGTCATGCTGTTGTGCGGATCTTTAGCGCTACGGATTGAATCGAGCCGTAACACCTGGTAGGTGACCTCATTCATCTGGACACATCATGTTCTTTTCTTCTCAGGTTCCTAAAGAAAAGAGATTGTTGCCCGTCGCCAAAGTGGTTGACATTTCAGAAGAGCAGGAAAAGAGGTCAGTGTATTTCATAGCCAACATGTAATATCAGTGGGATATACAGTGGGGGAAAAAAGTATTTAGTCAGCCACCAATTGTGCAAGTTCTCCCACTTAAAAAGATGAGAGAGGCCTGTAATTTTCATCATAGGTACACGTCAACTATGACAGACAAATTGAGGAAAAAAATTCCAGAAAATCACATTGTAGGATTTTTTATGAAATTATTTGCAAATTATGGTGGAAAATAAGTATTTGGTCACCTACAAACAAGTAAGATTTCTGGCTCTCACAGACCTGTAACTTCTTCTTTAAGAGGCTCCTCTGTCCTCCACTCGTTACCTGTATTAATGGCACCTGTTTGAACTTGTTATCAGTATAAAAGACACCTGTCCACAACCTCAAACAGTCACACTCCAAACTCCACTATGGCCAAGACCAAAGAGCTGTCAAAGGACACCAGAAACAAAATTGTAGACCTGCACCAGGCTGGGAAGACTGAATATGCAATAGGTAAGCAGCTTGGTTTGAAGAAATCAACTGTGGGAGCAATTATTAGGAAATGGAAGACATACAAGACCACTGATAATCTCTCTCGATCTGGGGCTCCACGCAAGATCTCACCCCGTGGGGTCAAAATGATCACAAGAACGGTGAGCAAAAATCCCAGAACCACACGGGGGGACCTAGTGAATGACCTGCAGAGAGCTGGGACCAAAGTAACAAAGCCTACCATCAGTAACACACTACGCCGCCAGGGACTCAAATCCTGCAGTGCCAGACGTGTCCCCCTGCTTAAGCCAGTACATGTCCAGGCCCGTCTGAAGTTTGCTTGAGTGCATTTGGATGATCCAGAAGAGGATTGGGAGAATGTCATATGGTCAGATGAAACCAAAATAGAACTTTTTGGTAAAAACTCAACTCGTCGTGTTTGGAGGACAAAGAATGCTGAGTTGCATCCAAAGAACACCATACCTACTGTGAAGCATGGGGGTGGAAACATCATGCTTTGGGGCTGTTTTTCTGCAAAGGGACCAGGACGACTGATCCGTGTAAAGGAAAGAATGAATGGGGCCATGTATCGTGAGATTTTGAGTGAAAACCTCCTTCCATCAGCAAGGGCATTGAAGATGAAACGTGGCTGGGTCTTTCAGCATGACAATGATCCCAAACACACCGCCCGGGCAACGAAGGAGTGGCTTCGTAAGAAGCATTTCAAGGTCCTGGAGTGGCCTAGCCAATCTCCAGATCTCAACCCCATAGAAAATCTTTGGAGGGAGTTCAAAGTCTGTGTTGCCCAGCGACAGCCCCAAAACATCACTGCTCTAGAGGAGATCTGCATGGAGGAATGGGCCAACATACAAGCAACAGTGTGTGAAAACCTTGTGAAGACTTACAGAAAACGTTTGACCTGTGTCATTGCCAACAAAGGGTATATAACAAAGTATTGAGAAACTTTTGTTATTGACCAAATACTTATTTTCCACCATAATTTGCAAATAAATTCATAAAACATCGTACAATGTGATTTTCTGGAATTTTTTTCCTGATTTTGTCTGTCATAGTTCATCTTTTTAAGTGGGAGAACTTGCACAATTGGTGGCTGACTAAATACTTTTTTTCCCCACTGTACATTTTTTATCATTATTTATAAGAAAGATAACTTACCATTTTAAACACATCACTTATAGCCCTTGATATACAGTAGAATTTCTGACACCAAAAACAGAATTTTAGTCATTGTGATTTTGACTGGAAATCACAGACACTTATAACCTAAGGGGAAAACTGTGCTGATATCACCTTACAGATTGGATATATAGGTCGTTCCAACAATTCGGTGCCTTTTGTGATGTGTAACTTGGTGAAATAAACATTTACATTACATTTTAGTCATTTAGCAGACGCTCTTATCCAGAGCGACTTACAGGAGCAATTAGGGTTAAGTGCCTTGCTCAAGGGCACATCGACAGATTTTCCACCTAGTCGGCTCTGGGATTAGAACCAACGACCTTTCGGTTACTGGCACAACGCTCTTAACCACTAAGCTACCTCATTTTAACATTCTGTCATAAATAGCACAAGTTCAGAAATTACTATATTTAGTGCCAAATAAAGTAACAGGTTGAAGATTTCATCTTAAAACAGCCATAAATTCCCTTGTGACAGGGGGAATGGAAGCTTGCTGTGTGCAACAGGGAGTGGCAATTGAATGCAAGCTTCACAAAAAAAATGTAATTGATAAAACATCTCTAGCCTGTCTATCTATGGGTAACAGGGTTGACGTGTTATGTTCGACCCGCTCACTTTTCCACCACAAAACATTTGAAAATTGCATTAAATAGAGATGTTTAATGTTTCTTTTGAAACAAATATTTGGAAAGGAATAGTTTCACCATATTAATACGAGATTTCAGTTTATGTAAAAGTGTTGACCTTAAAATGAATGACAGACGTAAATGAATCACTAATCACATGAAAGAAATAATAATCTTCAGAATTGACTTTGTCAAAGCAACAAAATAACTAGGGCTTTACAGTGATGGTGAATCTTGAAGAAATCTTTGGATGAAGTGGGTTGAAATCTTCCTAGAAGTGACACAGGATTGACAGAGGGACATGTCAAAATGCTGAATTTTGGCATTTAGCAAGCGTTTATTCATATAAAAATCTGATTTATTGAATTCTCCATGTGGTCTATATAAAGGGCACTTCATTTAATATATCAGGCTTTTAAAATTAAATATTGGTGCACAATTTCCACCTAATTTCCACCTAATTTCCACCTGGAATATCAAACGGACACAAAATGCACTCTTTTGGTGGAACGACCCATGTGATATGGTTCCACCTGTTCTAGTGGGTTCCACCTGTTCTAGTGGGTTCCACCTGTTCTAGTGGGTTCCACCTGTTCTAATGGGTTCCACCTGTTCTAGTGGGTTCCACCTGTTCTAGTGGGTTCCACCTGTTCTAATGGGTTCCACCTGTTCTAGTGGGTTCCACCTGTTCTAGTGGGTTCCACCTGTTCTAGTGGGTTCCACCTGTTCTAGTGGGTTCCACCTGTTCTTCTCTGATGCTGTTACAGGGGAGCCTCGGGGACCAGCACCAACGGCCAGCAGGGTGACAACATAGAGGTGGTGGACAACCGAGTCCAGGTGCTGAAGTCTGTCCCGGTCAACCTGTCCCTCAACACTGACCACCTGGAAAAGAGGGAGCAGTATGGGGCGGGGACGGGTGACGGACCTGGGGCTATTGCCTTGGTGAAGGCGGAGATGTATGCCCCGGTGTTCATGGGCCCAGGGGTCGGGATCGGGACGGCGGTGCATTATCGGGTGGAGGGCGAGGAGCAGGGGTCAAGGGTCATCTATGAGCAGATGAGTCCGTATGTATCCGATGTGTCAACAGTTAGTCACGGAGGATACGTTAAGGATGACCAGCGCAGCACGCCTGATGACAGCCCGTATGAAGAGGAGAGTGATGCGGTGAGAGGATGTTTGGACTTATGGGCTAAAAATGTATATTCTTCAGTTATGTTAAAGGCCCAGTGCAGTCAAAAATGTGATTTTCCTGTGTTCATATATACTTCCACACTGAGGTTGGAATAATACTGTGAAATTGTGAAAATGATGATAATGCCCTTTTAGTGTAAGAGCTGTTTGAAAAGACTGTCTGAAATTTCAGCCTGTTTTGGTGGGATGGAGTTTTGGCTTGGCTGGTGACATCACCGGGCGATAAATTGATGAATAGACCAATAAGAAAGAGAGTTCCAAACCTCTCTGCCAATAACAGCTAGTTTTCTGTTCCCCCTCCCCACTCAGATCACTCCCAGACAGTCCTAGCTAAATTCTTGCTTCAGAAATTCCTCTTTGCTATTTTTGTTTATTTTTGACCATTTTAATTGAAAACGATCCCAGTAAGGTACTTCATTGTTGCTCAGAAATGATTTGATATTGAGATAACAACGGCTGCACTGGACCTTTAAGCTATAACACCGCGGGCAAAACTGGTTACAACAACATCATTACAATCAGCTACAACTTATAATGATGTGATTGCAACCTGTTTGCCCACTTGGGAAGGATACTTCCCTTAGCAAATTGTTGATGCTGATGCCCCAATATGCTATGGAACTGGAAAAGTCAAAATGTCAGTAAATTAACCACAGCGCTGATCAACTTCCTCTGACTGAATGAATGTCATTTAAATGTACCATAGTTGGTTCCTCTTTCACTGTCTGACTGACTGCCTGACACAGTGATGTTTTTCCCCCAACAGAAATACCACACACCCAAGTCTATAGCACAGGAAGAGTTTATCTTTGACCAACAAGTAGTGTAAGTGACTGCACTACTCTAAACATACTGTCCCATTAGAAACCCACAATATACAGCATGTTTGTTGGCTGAGATATCCACCAGTCATATCTACAGACTGATCATGTGTATTGTCTTCTAACAGGGACACTTTTCAGTACACGCTGGAAGCCACCAGGTCACTGCGTGTGAAGCAGGGGGAGGGGCCCATGACCTACCTGAACAAGGGCCAGTTCTACGCTGTGATGCTTAGCGAGCTGGGAGCTAACAAACGCCTGAGACATCCAATCAGCAAAGTCAGGGTGAGTTGGAGAATGAGAACAAAGAACTCACATCTTTAGGAGTACTCTGGGAGCGCTAACTAGCACATCTTTAGGAGTACTCTGGGAGCGCTAACTAGCACATCTTTAGTATTACTCTGGGAGCGCTAATTAGCACATCTTTAGTAGGACTCTGGGAGCGCTAATTAGCACATCTTTAGGAGTACTCTGGGAGTGCTAACTAGCACATCTTTGGGAGTACTCTGGGAGCTAACTAGCACATTTTTAGGAGTACTCTGGGAGAACTAACTAGCACTTGTTTAGGAGTAGTCTGGGAGAACTAACTAGCACTTGTTTAGGAGTAGTCTGGGAGCTAACTAGCACATCTTTAGGATTAGTCTGGGAGCGATAAACTAGCACATCTTTGGGAGTACTCTGGGAGCTAACTAGCACATCTTTAGTAGTACTCTGGGAACTAACTAGCACATCTTTAGGAGTACTCAGGGATCACTAACTAGCACATCTTTAGGAGTAGTCTGGGAGCGATAAACTAGCACATCTTTGGGAGTACTCTGGGAGCTAACTAGCACATCTTTAGGAGTAGTCTAGGAGCGATAAACTAGCACATCTTTAGGAGTACTCAGGGATCACTAACTAGCACATCTTTAGGAGTAGTCTGGGAGCGATAAACTAGCACATCTTTAGGAGTACTCAGGGATCACTAACTAGCACATCTTTAGGAGTAGACTGTGAGCTAACTAGCACATCTTTAGGAGTAGTCTGGGAGCTAACTAGCACATCTTTAGGAGTAGTCTGGGAGCGCTAACTAGCACATCTTTGGGAGTACTCTGGGAGCTAACTAGCACATTTTTAGGAGTACTCTGGGAGAACTAACTAGCACTTGTTTAGGAGTAGTCTGGGAGAACTAACTAGCACTTGTTTAGGAGTAGTCTGGGAGCTAACTAGCACATCTTTAGTAGTACTCTGGGAACTAACTAGCACATCTTTAGGAGTAGTCTGGGAGCGCTAACTAGCACATCTTTAGGAGTAGTCTGGGAGCGCTAACTAGCACATCTTTAGTAGTACTCTGGGAACTAACTAGCACATCTTTAGGAGTACTCAGGGATCACTAACTAGCACATCTTTAGTACTCTGGGAGTTAACTAGCTTTTGAGTATAAAATAATGATAATTGGATTTATATACAGTACCAGTCAAAAGTTTGGACACACCTACTCATTCAAGGGGTTTTCTTTATTTTTACTATTTTCTACATTGTAAAATAATAGTGAAGACATCAAAACCATGAAATAACACATATGCAAGCATGTAGTAACCAAAAAAGTGTTAAACAAATCAAAATATGTTTTATTTTTGATATTTTTCAAATATCCACCCTTTGCCTTGATGACAGCTTTGCACACTCTTGGCATTCTCTCAACCAGCTTCACCTGGAATGTTTTTCCAACAGTCTTGAAGGAGTTCCCACATACAGTGAGGGAAAAAAGTATTTGATCCCCTGCTGATTTTGTACGTTTGCCCACTGACAAAGACATGATCAGTCTATAATTTTAATGGTAGGTTTATTTGAACAGTGAGAGACAGAATAACAACAACAAAATCCAGAAAAACGCATGTCAAAAATGTTATAAATTGATTTGCATTTTAATGAGGGAAATAAGTATTTGACCCCTCTGCAAGACATGACTTAGTACTTGGTGGCAAAACCCTTGTTGGCAATCACAGAGGTCAGACGTTTCTTGTAGTTGGCCACCAGGTTTGCACACATCTCAGGAGGGATTTCGATCCTCTTTGCAGATCTTCTCCAAGTCATTAAGGTTTTGAGGCTGACGTTTGGCAACTCGAACCTTCAGCTCCCTCCACAGATTTTCTATGGGATTAAGGTCTGGAGACTGGCTAGGCCACTCCAGGACCTTAATGTGCTTCTTCTTGAGCTGCTCCTTTGTTGCCTTGGCCGTGTGTTTTGAGTCATTGTCATGCTGGAATACCCATCCACAACCCATTTTCAATGCCCTGGCTGAGGGAAGGAGGTTCTCACCCAAGATTTGACGGTACATGGCCCCGTCCATCGTCCCTTTGATGCGGTGAAGTTGGCCCCTTAGCAGAAAAACACACCCAAATCATAATGTTTCCACCTCCATGTTTGACAGTGGGGATGGTGTTCTTGGGGTCATAGGCAGCATTCCTCCTCCTCCAAACACGGCGAGTTGAGTTGATGCCAAAGAGCTTGATTTTGGTCTCATCTGACCACAACACTTTCACCCAGATCTCCTCTGAATCATTCAGATGTTCATTGGCAAACTTCAGACGGCCCTGTATATGTGCTTTCTTGAGCAGGGGGACCTTGCGGGCACTGTAGGATTTCAGTCCTTCACGGCGTAGTGCGTTACCAATTGTTTTCTTGGTGACTATGGTCCCAGCTGCCTTGAGATCATTGACAAGATCCTACCGTGTAGTTCTGGGCTGATTCCTCATCGTTCTCATGATCATTGCAACTCCACGAGGTGAGATCTTGCATGCAGCACCAGGCCGAGGGAGATTGACAGTTATTTTGTGTTTCTTCCATTTGCGAATAATCGCACCAACTGTTGTCACCTTCTCACCAAGATGCTTGGCGATGGTCTTGTAGCCCATTCCAGCGTTGTGTAGGTCTACAATCTTGTCCCTGAAATCCTTGGAGAGCTCTTTGGTCTTGGCCATGATGGAGAGTTTTGAATCTGATTGATTGATTGCTTCTGTGGACAGGTGTCTTTTATACTGCTGGTAGAGCACGGCGCTTGTAACGCCAAGGTAGTGGGTTCGATCCCCGGGACCACCCATACACAAAAAAAAATTTATGCACGCATGACTGTAAGTCGCTTTGGATAAAAGCGTCTGCTAAATGGCATATTATTATTATTATTATTATTATATTATACAGGTAACAAACTGAGATTAGGAGCACACTCTGATTAGGAGCACTCCCTTTAAGAGTGTGCTCCTAATCTCAGCTCCTTACCTGTATAAAAGACACCTGGGAGCCAGAAATATTTCTGATTGAGAGGGGGTCAAATACTTATTTCCCTCATTAAAATACAAATCAATTTATAACATTTTTTACATGCGTTTTTCTGGATTGTTTTGTTGTTATTCTGTCTCTCACTGTTCAAATAAACCTACCATTAAAATTATAGACTGATCATTTCTTTGTCAGTGGGAAAACTTACAAAATCAGCAGGGGATCAAATACGTTTTTCCCTCACTGTATGCTGAGCACTTGTTGGCTGCTTTTCCTTCACTCTGCCGTTCGACTCATCCCAAACCATCTCAATTTGGTTGAGGTCGGGGGATTGTGGAGGCCAGGTCATCTGATGTAGCACTCCATCACTCTCCTTCTTGGTAAAACAGCCCTTACACAGCCTGGAGGTGTGTTGGGTCATTGTCCTGTTGAAAACCAAATTATAGTCCCACTAAGCCCAAACCAGATGGGATGGCGTATCGCTGCAGAATGCTGTGGTAGCCATGCTGGTTAAGTGTGCCTTGAATTCTAAATAAATCACAGACAGTGTCACCAGCAAAGCACCCCCACACCATAACACCTCCTCCTCCATACTTCACGGTGGGAACCACACATGCAGAGATCTTCCGTTCACCTACTCTGCGTCTCACAAAGACACGGCGGTTGGAACCAAAAATCTCAAATTAGGACTCAGTACAGAGTTCCACCGGTCTAATGTCCATTGCTCGTGTTTCTTGGCCCAAGCAAGTCTCTTCTTATTATTGGTGTCCTTTAGTAGTGGTTTCTTTGAAGCAATTCGACCATGAAGGCCTGATTCACACTGTCTTCCATTCCTGTGGTGGTCCTCATGAGAGCCAGTTTCATCATAGCGCTTGATGGTTTTTGCGACTGCACTTTAAGAAACTTAAAAGTTCTTGAAATGTTCCGGATTGACTGACCTTCATGTCGTAAAGTAATGATGGACTGTCGTTTCTCTTTGCTTATTTGAGCTGTTCTTGCCACAATATGGACTTGGTCTTTTACCAAATAGGGCTATCTTCTGTTTACCCCCCCTACCTTGTCACAGCACAACTGATTGGCTCAAACGCATTAAGAAGGAAAGAAATTCCACAAATTAACTTTTAAGAAGGCACACCTGTTAATTGAAATGCATTCCAGGTGACTACCTCATGAAGCTGGTTGAGAGAATGCCAAGAGTGTGCAAAGCTGTCATCAAGGCAAAGGGTGGCTATTTGAAGAATCTCAAATATAAAATATATTTTGATTTGTTTAACACTTTTTTGGTTAGTTCATGATTCCATATGTGTTATTTCATCGTTTTGATGTCTTCACTATTATTCTACAATTTAAAAAATAGTTAAAATAAAGAAAAACCCTTGAATGAGTAGGTGTGTCCAAACCTTTGACTGATAGTGTATATATTTATATATAGATACTCAAAGTACTTTACATTGTAAGGTGTAACCGCAGTGTTCACAGGGTAGAATAAAACTAAAGGTTATCATAGTGTGTGTGTGTGTGTGTGTGTGTATCTACAGCAGGGGTGGGCAAACTACGGCCCGCAGGCCGTATCTGGCCCGCGAGCCCATTCCATCCAGCCCGCGGGAGGTTTGAGTAACATGTCTGTTAAATTTGCACTCCATTCCAAAGAGTACTACACTCTGGACCAGGAGGAATGCTCTGCTTAACTGAAGAGTTTTAAGTAGCAAAGATAACAGCTGAAATTGCTATTTTAAATGTGGAAAAGAAGTCTGTGGGAAATTTGGTGAAAGGATTATTAAGAGTAAAAAACCACTCCAGGCCACACTCTAAACTAACCCTAACCCTAACCCTAACCCTAAACTAGATAGAAAGGAGACTGGGTGGACAAAACATTAGGAACACCTGCTCTTTCCATGACATAGACTGACCAGGTGAATCCAGGTGAAAGCTATGATCCCTTATTGATGTCACTTGTTAAATCCACTTCAATCAGTGTACAGATGTGGGATCTTAATTTGCAGTTTTTCACGCTCAACAGTTTCCTGTGTGTATCAAGAATGGTCCACCACCCAAAGGACATCCAGCCAACTTGACCCAACTGTGGGAAGCATTGGAGTCAACATAGGTTAGCATCCCTGTGGAGCGCTTTCGACACCTTGTAGAGTCCATGCCCCGATGAATTTAGGCTGTTCTGAGGGCAAAAGGGGGTGGAACTCAATATTAGGAAGGTGTTCCTAATGTTTTGTACACTCAGTGTATGTAGAAATGATAATGGACCTATATATTTTCAAATATATTTTTCTGTCCCACAAATAGATTTTGACAAACAAATAAATAGGTCCAAAAAAATCTGAGTGGCCCTCAGTTGAATTTCGTAATCCCGATGTGGCCCCCGAGCCCAACATTTTCCCACCCCTGATCTACAGTAATGTTGCTAATCGTCATCCTGTCTCCCATTCCTCTGTTCCTAACCCAGAGTGTCATCATGGTGGTGTTCAGTGAAGACAAGAACAGAGATGAACAGCTGAAGTACTGGAAGTACTGGCACTCCCGCCAGCACACTGCTAAACAGAGAGTACTAGACATAGGTAAGACCTGTAACTAACTAACTAAATAACTAACTAACTAACTAACTAACTAACTAACCCTACTGGCACTCCTGCCAGCACACTGCTAAACAGAGGGTACACGGTACACTCTTAGAAAAAAGGGTTCCATAAGGGTTCTTTTGCTGTCCCCATAGGAGAACCCTTTTTGGTTCTATATAGCACCTTTTTTTCAGAGTGTACTAGACATTGGTAACTTGGTAAGAGCATAGAAACAGAGTGTCTTGGAAGTCCCTCAGACCATGACGTTTTTACACATTCTACCAATTAGAGCTAAAGGCCTGTAAGTAAACCTGTCTAAATGCTGTTGGTATGGTCTGTGCCCAATTACTGACTAGTCATTGGCCTGGCCTACCTCCTGTCACTGTTCTACAGCCCCCTCTTCTCCTCTCTCCTCCTCTCCTCTCCTCTCCTCTCCTCTCCTCTCCTCTCCTCTCCTCTCCTCTCCTCTCCTCTCCTCTCCTCTCCTCTCCTCTCCTCTCCTCTCCTCTCCTCTCCTCCTCTCCTCTCCTCTCCTCTCCTCTCCTCTCCTCTCCTCTCCTCTCCTCTCCTCTCCTCTCCTCTCCTCTCCTCTCCTCTCCTCCTCTCCTCTCCTCTCCTCTCCTCTCCTCTCCTCTCCTCTCCTCTCCTCTCCTCTCCTCTCCTTCCTCCTCTCTCTGCTGTGCTGTTGAGGGGAGCTGATTCAGTTAATGACTGGGTGTTGTTAGTCCAGCATAGTCACCCAGATAATTCCCTTGACATTTCGTTGGGGATTGTGGAAAAAGGAGAAGTGTGCCTCTCATTCATCGTTCTATTGCTTAATTTTGCACATTCTAAAAGCACAAATCTTCAACAGGTGGATGTTTTTCGAAAAAAAAACGTATTTTAGTGGGTCACAGTTTTTACTGTGGAAGATTTCGCTATTATCAGTCAGTGAATTTGATTGTGAACAATTTGTCTCCAGTCATGTTGAGTGAGTCTGACTGAGAGGCTTGTAGGATCTGTCCCAAGCGGCAAGCTGCGACCTGCAGAGAGAGAGGCGGAGAAGCAGCAGTGGTGGTATGTAGAGGGGGAGAATCAGAGTGGAGAAATGCATGGCTTGTTTGGACAGAGAGAGGAATGCCTCAGCCAGCCAGTGTACCTTTCTGTGTTGTACCTCTCTGAAAGGGTGATGTTATACTCAGAGATTTATATTAAGTCTAGTAAATGAATATGTGGGATGTATTTGTTACATGTGGAAACAATTGACATGATTTAGTGACATGATTTAGAGACAGAATATAGTAGAAGTCGGTTGTCTTGTTGTCTTAGCATAATTTCAACAGAATATCGTAGAAGTCGGTTGTCTTGTTGTCTTAGCATAATATCAACAGAATATCGTAGCAGTCGGTTGTCTTGTTGTCTTAGCATAATATCAACAGAATATTGTAGAAGTCGGTTGTCTTGTTGTCTTAGCATAATATCAACAGAATATCGTAGAAGTCGGTTGTCTTGTTGTCTTAGCATAATATCAACAGAATATCATAGCAGTCGGTTGTCTTGTTGTCTTAGCGTAATAGCAACAGAATATCGTAGCAGTCAGTTGTCTTGTTGTCTTAGCGTAATATCAACAGAATATCGTAGCAGTCGGTTGTCTTGTTGTCTTAGCATAATTTCAACCGAATATCGTAGCAGTCGGTTGTCTTGTTGTCTTAGCGTAATTTCAACAGAATATCGTAGAAGTCGGTTGTCTTGTTGTCTTAGCATAATATCAACAGAATATCGTAGCAGTCGGTTGTCTTGTTGTCTTAGCATAATATCAACAGAATATTGTAGAAGTCGGTTGTCTTGTTGTCTTAGCATAATATCAACAGAATATCGTAGAAGTCGGTTGTCTTGTTGTCTTAGCATAATATCAACAGAATATCATAGCAGTCGGTTGTCTTGTTGTCTTAGCGTAATAGCAACAGAATATCGTAGCAGTCAGTTGTCTTGTTGTCTTAGCGTAATATCAACAGAATATCGTAGCAGTCGGTTGTCTTGTTGTCTTAGCGTAATAGCAACAGAATATCGTAGCAGTCAGTTGTCTTGTTGTCTTAGCGTAATAGCAACAGAATATCGTAGCAGTCGGTTGTCTTGTTGTCTTAGCGTAATATCAACAGAATATCGTAGCAGTCGGTTGTTTGTTTGTCTTAGCTAATACAACAGAATATCGTAGCAGTCGTTGTCTTGTTGTCTTAGCATAATAGCAACAGAATATCGTAGCAGTCGGTTGTCTTGTTGTCTTAGCATAATATCAACAGAATATCGTAGCAGTCGGTTGTGTTGTTGTCTTAGCATAATGTCAACAGAATATCGTAGCAGTCGGTTGTCTTGTTGTCTTAGCATAATATCAACTGAATATCGTAGCAGTCGGTTGTCTTGTTGTCTTAGCATAATATCAACAGAATATGTAGAAGTCGGTTGTCTTGTTGTCTTAGCATAATATCAACAGAATATCGTAGCAGTCGGTTGTCTTGTTGTCTTAGCATAATTCAACGAATATCGTAGCAGTCGGTTGTCTTGTTGTCTTAGCATAATATCAACAGAATATATAGAAGTGGTTGTCTTGTTGTCTTAGCATAATATCAACAGAATATCGTAGCAGTCGGTTGTCTTGTTGTCTTAGCATAATTCAACAGAATATCGTAGCAGTTGGTTGTCTTGTTGTCTTAGCATAATTTCAACAGAATATCACAATGTACTTTTCCCATTTGTCTGTCAAGGCAGCATATCATAATGTTTTCACTCTAGGCCTCAGATATAACAGATATATGCATATAATCAAGACAGTATATTACTCAATGAGGAAGTGAGCTGTTATTTAGTCTGAAACCACTTGTTGAATTAATAAAGTCAACTTGGAAAATCATCAATCAACTGTTTAATAAGAGAAAGGCATCTACAACTATCCATCTCAATGTATTGTTGGAAATAAGACCTATAGTGATCCTGATGTTATTTCATATGAATTTAACAACTGTGTTGTGAATGTGGGGTCCTCTATGTCAAAGAAAATAGAGAAAACTGATGGAAATCCCTTGGATTACATTAAGGGACATTTCCCTTCTCTGCTTCAGTTTGATCCTCCTGATGTGATGGAGGTGATGGAGGTCATTGGTAACTTAAAGATATCAGCAACAGGTCATGATGAGATTGGGGCCTCTTTGGTGAAATCAGTGTCTTCCTCGATCACTGAACCTCTAATGTATATCTTCACCAAATCTATGCAAACTGATATTGTTCCTAAAGATTTGAAAATAGAAAAAGTTATCCCCCTCTATAAATCTGGGGATCCAAGATCTTTGACTAATTATCGCCTAATATCTGTATTACCATGTTTAAAAAGATTCCTAGAACACTGTATTCTATATGAGCACCAATATGGTTTCGTAAAAACTACTCCACAGATATGTCTCTTTTGCAACTTGTGGATAAAATATTTTCAGCCCTGAACAACAATGAATACGCTCTTGGCATCTTTTTAGATTTATCCAAAGCATTTGACACCGTTGATCATTAAATATTACTTTCTAAATTTAATTATAATATTTTTCATGATTATGCATATAATTGGTTATATAGTTATGTTTATAATAGAGAACAATTTGTTTTTGCAAATGCCTGTATATCTACCAGGGCAGTGTTCGATAATTGGACCGTTGTTATTCCTAATCTATATCAATGACCTTGGACCTTTGTTATTCCTAATCTATATCAATGACCTTGGACCTTTGTTATTCCTAATCTATATCAATGACCTTGCTGCTGTGTCTTCTACCGTACTTCCCATTCTCTTTGCTGATGATACCAAGTAGATTTTATCACACAATCATTTTGATTCACTAATTAGCGAATCCAACTCAGGCATGGCCAAATTTTCTGAACGGTTCCAGATAAACAAATTATCTTTAAATGTTAAAAAATCCAGCGTTATTATATTCACTAGTAAGAATAAGAAATATTGTAAAAAATCAATTTTAAAAAGAGCCAGAATCTCAATAGGTGGGAATGAAATGGAACAAGTCACATCCACTAGATTCCTGGGAGTTCTAATTGATGAAAAGTTATCCTGGAAAAATCATATTCAATTTGTCTGTAGCAAAGTGATGAAATGTGTTGGTATCATCAGAAAGATGAGTGGCTTGGTTCATCAGGCTTGCTTCCTAACTCTATACTATAGCTTAATTTACCCATATCTCATTTACTGGAATATTGTCTGGGCCAGTAAGTACACTACAGTTCAAAAGTTTGGGGTCACTTAGACATTTCCTTGTATTCGAAAGAAAAGCAATTTTTTGTCCATTAAAATAACATCAAATTGATCAGAAATACAGCGTAGACATTGTTAATGTTGTAAATTGCTGTTGTAGCTGGAAAGGGCAGATTTTTTATGGAATATCTACATAGGCGTACAGAGGCCCATTATCAGCAACCATCAGTCCTGTGTTCCAAAGGCACATTGTGTTTGCTAATCCAAGTTTATCATTTTAAAAGGCTAATTGATCATTAGAAAACCCTTTTGCAATTATGTTAGCACAGCTGAAAACTGTGGTGCTGATTAAAGAAGCAATAAAACTGGCCTTCTTGAGACTAGTTGAGTATCTGGAGCATCAGCAATTGTGGGTTCGATTACAGGCTCAAAATGGCCAGAAACAAATAACTTTCTTCTGAAACTCAGTCTATTCTTGTTCTGAGAAATGAAGGCTATTCCTTGCGAGAAATTGCCAAGAAACTGAAGATCTCGTACAACGCTGTGTACTACTCCCTTCACAGAACAGCGCAAACTGGCTCTAACCAGAATAGAAAGAGGAGTGGGAGGCCCCGGTGCACAACTGAGCAAGAGGACAAATACATTAGAGTGTCTAGTTTGAGAAACAGGCGCCTCATTAAATAGTACCCGCAAAACACCAGTCTCAACGTCAACAGTGAAGAGGCGACTCCGGGATGCTGACTTTCTAGGCAGAGTTGCAAAGAAAAA